GGGGACAGGAAAGCTGGACAAATGGAAATGGGAAACCCAAGGTCAAGAAGGGGAGAGTGTTGACACGTCCCAGGGTTGGCAACCAATGTCACAAAACAATATGTGTGTTAATTGTTCAATAAGAAGCTAATTTGCTATGTAAACTTTCACCTAAAGCACAGTTTAAAAAAAAAAAATCCCTGCCCTTATAGAATTTATCATCTGGATTAACAGCAGCAGCAACAACAGATTTATTCTTATAGACAGAGTAAGAGAGCTCAATATGCAGTATGATGTAGAACTACTATATTTTAAGAGGATCATATTTTATATTATTTTCTCAGTGTGTAAACCAATGCTTAGCCATGGGACCTTAATTTGAAAAACGGACCCTTCTCCTGTTTATGCCCTTCAAAATTAGACTTTCATTATGCCCTTCAAAAGTAGACTCTAATAAATACTTTATTCAAATATATTATTAAAAGTGGATTTCACTTACAATAGGCAGAATAAATGCTTAATTTCTTTGGTGGGTATTTATTTACCTGTGGTATTCAGACTAAAATAAGCTTTTTCGTATATCTTCAGTACAGATGTTATCACTAATTTGTAATTATTGATTGTGATTCTACTATGTACCTGGCTGTTTTCTGGACACTTTGCTGCTGATAGGGCAATGAATAGGAGAGACAGGCTTCTACCCTCAGCTTTTTCATTCTCAAGAGGGAAGACAGATAATATTGCACAAACAAAAATGTAATTAAAAATAGAACGGTACATAGATGCGGAGTGACTGGAGTCAGAAGAGGGAGTTTAAAGGAGTGCTTGGAGCAGGCCTCTCTGGAGTAACATTTGACCTGAGACCTGAATTCTGAAGGAATCAACCAAAAGGCGAAAACTTTTAAGACAGAGGAACTTACAAGTGCAAACACTTCCAGGAGAGTGAAACTCGTGTGGGTGGAGCTTACTAAATGAGGAGGGTAGATGCTAAAAGCTAAAGACCAGAGAGATGGGCACCAGTGGGTCACACACAGCCTTATAGGTTAAGATAAAGACAGAAGATTTAATTCTAACTGCAGTAGGAAACTATTAGGGGTTTTAAACAGGGGAAGGCTGCAATCTGATTAACTTCTTTAAAAGTTTAGCTTGGCTTCTGTGTTTAGGTGAAAAGGATAGAAGCTGGGAGACTATGGAGGGAACTATTGTAGTGGTCCAGGTGAGAGATGGGAGCAGAATCTGAGATCTTTTAGAGGTGAATGTAAGAAGTGATCAATTCTTGAATTGGACTGGAATTAGAGCCTACATGTGTGGATAGATCAGACATGGCAGAGAGGGTAAGAGAGAAATCAGAAAGGTATGGGCCGGAGTTTGGGGTTGTGCCCTTTACCAAGATGGAACATGTTTTATGTTTGCTCATTTTTTGGTTTATTTTCAGAATGAATTTAAATTTTAGTAAAGTGGCTATGGTATTCCAATTGGAAATGTCAAATAGGCCATGGATAATAGGTGGATAATGGAGCTCAAAAGAGGGGTCAGGGATTTAATAGATAATAGAGGGAGTAACCGAGAGCCCTTAGGTCAAGAGGTAGAGGATAATAGAAGAGTGCCAAGGAGGGAGATGTGAACCACTCAGCATTTAGTGGGTTAGATGTGCATTCAATCCCAGAATGACAGCAAACAACGATTAAGATCTTTTGGAAACAATACTTGACTTTCTTGACTTTTTCCAAGATAAACTTGCAAAACCGCAACTCCAGAATAGAACCTTAATAATGAGCACAATTTTATCAGTAAAGATAATTGCTGTGCTGTGTAAATAGGCAAGATAATGAGAATTTCCAAGTTTATTTTTAGTTCAGGTAGTTTTTCTTTTATTAAATGATATTCCGAGTTGTCAGAACCAATGAGAAAGCCACATGACTCATACTTGTTTTGCAACGTTCTGCCACCATATGGTGTTTAACACTGTGGGGTGCTGACTATTTCTTGAAGCAGCTGGTTTGTGATCAACATTTTTTGCTATTCACTTCTTTGTGTGTTGAAGGCAGTATTAAGCAACTTCCCTATTAAAGAAATCCACCTTAGTTTGGTAGCACACAGCCACACAAACTCCTCATTTCCATCCCATTCTTATTCAACATAGCCAAGGTACATTGTTATTAGCTTTTTTGGTGATAACATACTATTTTAAGGACAATGGGGTTGAGCTTACAGATAAAGTTTCAGGTTACCCCTTACCTGTAAACGAACCTTTGAAAGTAAAGTTACAGTTTGTGTCTTTGTGAAATTTACGTTGTTAAATGTTAAATGCTATGGCTCATCTATTTTTTGGTAATACCAGTTTTTCTTCTCTTTTTTTGAACCTCACCCTTGGTAAAGTATTGCATTGATTCTTCTTTTTTTTTTTTTAAATCCTATTAGACCAAAGATTGTGAAAAAAATGATAATAGTAGCATCTGTTAGAGTCATGGAATTTTAGTTCAGACAAAGATCTTAGCAATCCTCTAGTAGCACCCTTTCATTTTACAGGTGAAGAATTCAAAGCAGGGCAAGACTTGGCCATTTTCATATAGCTGGTCAGTGACCTAGCCAACCATAAACACGTATTGAATAGTCACTAGTGCTTCAAACCAGGCTCAGCACTGTGGGTACACAAAAGGATGTGATCTCTGTTCTTGAGAATGGAGACAGATACATAAACAAACATTTATAAGGTAACAAGATAAATGCTGTAGGTAGAAAGTGCTTTGGGAGTGAGAAAGAAGTGCTGCTCTTCTGCCTCCAGGTTTTAGCAGACACTTCATAGAGGAAATTTTTGGTGACTTTCAAGCTTAAAAATGTGTTCATTGTTAAAGAAGATGAGCTCACTTTGTAGTCCTGTGTTCTAACTGAAAGCTTGTAATAGATCACTATTTTTCTTTTTTAGAAGTGTACGCTCTCTAAATTGACCAAGACCCTTTCTAATTTATTTTCCATCTATAGAGGCAACGGTTTTGAGCTATGATGGAAGTATGTTTATGAAAATCCAGCTTCCAGTGGTGATGCACACAGAGGCTGAGGACGTGTCCTTACGATTCCGATCCCAACGTGCCTACGGCATTCTCATGGCAACCACCTCTAGAGATTCTGCAGACACCCTACGCCTGGAGCTAGATGCAGGGCGTGTGAAACTGACGGTCAACCTAGGTAACAACTTGCCTTCCCCATTGAACTAACACTTTTCACTTTTTGTTCAGTTTTGCCTGCCAACATTTATCAAGTAGCCTGTTTGCTATGGAAAGTCAAAACACTTAATGGTCTTATTTCCATCATTTAAAGTAATTTAGGTTCTTTTGGCATCTTTTTCTATTGTTTTTATTCTGTTTAACATAACTTACTGTTCTGTGATTCCTACCACGGTGGGTTCTTAAAAGGGAAGCCATGTCTATCAATGAGGTTAATTGAAAATATAAATGATTAGGCTCGAAGATGCCTGAAACTGAAATTTCCCTGTTGCTATGTTTACTGACATTCTGATTGGTTATAGATTATATCCTTGCAGATAAATGAAAATCTACTTTCTTTTACTTTTATACTGTACGTACAAAATACCAATGTTCTACTTGGCTATCTAGATCGACATTTGCTCTTATTCTATTCCATGGGCTTCTCCTTTGAATAGTCACCTACGTGGTACCACATCTTTTCTGGTTTGAAATACTGTGTGGTGATATTTTGCTATCAAAAGGCAATCCACAACCCTTCAATGCCCAAAGTCTGCGGCCCTTAGCAAACAGCCACGAGGACACTGAAGACACAGGCTCTTCTACAGAAGGATAATGCTTTCCTGCTTGACTGTAGCAATAAGAAAGAGTCACTACAGTAAAACCTCACAAATCTGGATGAGTTATGGATGAAAGCTAGACTGAATAAAGAAAAAGTCTGAATTGTAGGCTAAAAAAAAAGAATTAAAGAAAAGCAGTTTTACTCCCTTCAATTGCATTCAAAAATACAAATTAATAGCTGAAAAAAATCTTATCCAATAAAGGTCAGACTAGGCAGGTTTTAATGAGTAGAAACCCTGGTGGCTTAGTGGTTAAGAGCTACAGCTGCTAACCAAAAGGTCAGCAGTTCAAATCTGCCAGGCACTCCTTGGAAACTCTATGGGGCAGTTCTACTCTGTCCTATAGGGTCGTTATGAGTCGGAATTGACTCTACGGCAGTGGGGTATTAAGAATTACCCATAATTAGCACATTGTTTTATGCAAATTTGTCATCACTATATAGTAAAGTCCTTGAAATCAGTTTCTTCCTGAAGTGAGTCTTTTGAAATCTTATCTGTTTACATTTTGTATTTTTCTCAGCAGATCTCTACTCATAATTAATGAAGAATTAATATTCTGCCCAATAAGCTTCAATATTATCATTAACTTCAAATAAGAGGAGTCCAAATTAATGAGGTTTTACTGTATTTTCCGAAAGTGCTAAACCATAATAAATAGAGAGATAGAAATAAAATGTAAAACTAGATTTACAAAAAGAGTAATAAAATGTTATGAGGTAAGCTATTTGTGGAAACCCCACCTACATTTTCAAATATTTCTAGGCAGAATGGTATCTCATTAAATATAAAATCACTTCACTGGAAGATTGCTGCATATAATTGCATTCAATTAATATTAGTTAAATTAAGTAAAAGTATCGGAGTGTTTTGGTTTTTTTTAAGGTTACTTAAACACACAACATTCTCATTTACTGTTCTGTTAGAGTACCCTCTAGTGGCAATGATAGGTTACTACATGCCAATCAAAATAAGTCGCCTATTTTCAGTAAAAGGGCTGCTAGCCCGAGCAGAAACAGTACTGGGAAATTTCCAACAGCAAAGCATTCTGTAGAAAGAGTTGTGTAGGTGCTGGTCCTTGGCTGTTTGCAACCACTTTTCTGATGCGGTTGACGACACATGACAAACTCAGCTATATGGAAACAGAATCTAGGTTTATATTTTTCATGTTCCCCAAAGGCATTAAATACTAAAATGAAAACCAACCAAAATATATCTATCTATAAAATAAACATAAAGCATCCCACATAGTCTTTTAAAAATAACCATTTTAATCACAATCTGTGTTATCCAGACCAGACGTTCTGTTCTTACAGTATCTGCTTTTATATGAAGTAAGTATAAGAAAAGGAAATCAGTAGCAGTGTTAACCGTGGCACTTAGTATATAGAGATAACACTGTTAGCTCCTAGCAGAAGACCAGGCTTGTATACTCTGAAGAATGCCAGCACTCTTTAGCCAGCAGAGTTTCTAAAGGCAACATACAGTTGGTTCTTCCCTCCTCCAGTCAGTTCCAGGCATGGAATCCAGACAACATCTGGCTGTTACTTTTTTGTGCCCAAGCAAATAAAATTAAAAGAGAGAAAAAACAAATACATTAAAATGAGGTGAGGATAATTTTAACATGTTCTCCATTTGACCACTGTAATCCTCTTGGCCTTTGTGGGATATTAGATTTTGGAGGTCCAAGATGTCCGAGCCTAGCTGGGCTTGCACTGTACCCCATTGTGACGGAGCACTTTTTAATTATGCTGAAAACAATGATATGTTCTTTCACAGATGGGGAGAAAGTTGCAGCCAATCTAAGCCAAGCATCTTTGACAGTTAACAACTCTTTTTTTCCACTTAGATTTGTCACCATGTAGCTTTGTTTGAATTGGCCATTTTTTTTTAAACTTTCTATTGTTGTTTCCAATGGTGAACTTTTTAAACAATAAATCTGGGTTCTAGAATATGTAAAGAATAATGATATAGAGTGGCCATATTTGCATGTGTCTGTCCCCGGAAGGGTGGACTGTGATTTTATTGGATGTCTGCAGCTATTACCTTGAAGGATAAATTTTCATTTTTCATCTATTCTTCCCCATCTAGATTGTATCAGGATTAACTGTAATTCCAGTAAGTGCCTATTCAAAATTTTTAAAATGTTATTCCTCCATTATGATGTAAGCTAGTCGAGCAAAAGAGAGAAAGAGAGAAATGTAGAGTTTATAAAACTCATGAACTCACTTTTGAAATGGACCAGTCCATCATCTGGGTGTAAAAGTTCATTTTGAAATCTGTCCAGCTGAAGACTTTTCCACTGCAGCTCCTAGCTCTAAGTGGGAAAAAAAATGACATGTATTTTGTAACAGACGTTACAAATATCTCTATAAACTGTCCAGCACTCCAAATGGCATTTATATTTTGCCGGATCTGGAACTACGGGGATTCTCTTTATGATCAAATAGCCGGGAGAAAATACTATGGGTCTTATTGCCTTCATTTTTATTTTTTATCTCTTAACTCAAATGTAGAACAAAATATATTTAATTCCTTACTTTGAGAGCTAACATTAAATCCTTCTAAATTTAATCAAGGTTTTAGACAGGAAAATCTGTTTTCCCAAATTTTATATTCACAGAAAATTACTTGTCTAAAGAGTTTTCCCATGTTCATTAAGAGTATTTACATGATGAATTTTTACATCCTAATCATATATCTGCTAAAATAACCAACATCCTTCAAATCTGTGGTATGCATGCCAAACAATGAGTCAGAAAAAAAAAAAAGATGCATGGACTGAGCTTTATTTGAATTTGGACTAGAGAAACTGAAAGGATATGAGGACTGTGATTTTATTTTGAGTTGTAGCATTATCTTAAGAGTAAATTTATTTTATTTCTTTACATAATTTCTTTACATAAATGTTTAGGTTTTTCTTTTCCAGGTTCTGCCGACCACAGTCAGGAATGTCCTCCAACGATCACACAGTTCTTAGCTATTTAAATGAAATGATTCTAATAAGCTTCTAACCTGTCATTGTCATACCCAGTAGAAATTTCTCTTTATCCATGGAGAAGCGCTGAATATGAGTTGACAGAGATTACCCTCCAAGCTATTGGCTGTGTTTCCAAATGGCAGTAAGTCATCCTCTGTGGAACAAAATGGCAACCTCAAACTTAAAAAAACAAGAAGCTTTTTCTAAGGAAATGCATACTCTTTAGAATACTGTGCTTCTTACGACTCAGCTTTGTCTTAAAATATTCTAATATGCATTTTTTAAGTAGCATAAAAACAAATCTGCCTAACTACATCAGTAAAAAGGTAACTTGAATCACGACTTACGAAAAATTAAACTGATAAACGTTTACCAACAGAGCTGGCATTAAAAATCATCTCAAACAGAATAGTTCCAGGAAGCAATCTCTCAGAGAGCTCCCACACCAGTGGAATTTTTCAAGTGTATATCATTCTCCTTTCCAATCTCATCTCTTCTACGCTTTTTGAAAAGGAACCCATGTTGTGCAAGTCTAATACTGTGGTCTTGCCTTGCTTTCAGCTCTGGAGCACAGACACAAGCAAAGTGACAACTCCCAAAATACTTTCTTCCAAAGCCAGTGATGTGCTTTAATTGCAGCTGTAGGTTTTCTTGATTCCTCCTGAATCTGAGAAAATCCATGTGGGAAAATATTTCATTCTAGGTCTCTGCCTTATGTACTCATTTTATTTATGTTAAGCATACAGCAAAGCATGGATTTTTAAATTTACAGAGTGTAACTAAATAAACTTTAGCAATTGATAGAAGTGACCCAAACCAAATGCGATCCTGAGTTCTCTAGCTACATGTACAGCATTTTTAAATATATGTTAATTGTATAATCACGCTTGTTAGACTGTTTTCCTCATTCGGTCTGTGTCAGGAGACTCTGATATTAAGCGTAATCTTTTTTTCCTTTGGATGCTCCACAGAACACTACCTTGGAAGACAAAGGTTTTTGGTCGTTAGTGGAATTTTTCCCTTTTTAAGGAATATGTGTTAAATTTAAATTATTTGAACCAAATGGATGATTATAAGCTTTCAGTGCATACCTCGGACAGGGCTGCAATTGCTTTAACTTGTCAGCAGTCACTGGAAAGAGCGTTCAATTAACAGGTAACATTTTCATTTCTTTTTGCCTTTATTTTATTTGAGGAACAGTAGGCAGATGCAGTAGGAAGACAAGTTGCCAGTGGCCAAGTTATTTGTCAAGTTTAAGGAGAAGGAGGAATCCATATATCAAATAATACAATCCTAACTCACAGTTATTCAATGAGCAGAGATTTCCACCTGTAGTGTTTTTCTGGCCAAGAAAATAAATGAATAAAATCTATATCTCAGTGTAACTTGTAGTTTGATGAAAGACTGATTTATTGAAATTATTCTCTGTGGGCTATAAGTTTGCCTGAAACCTAAAAGGTGAATATATGTTCATTAAGTCACCGCTGTATGATGCTGCCATCTCTAAATATTGTACAGTAACTAAGATATCGATTGTATTATGAGATTAATATGAAATACCTCAGGTGATTAAAAAAAAAAAACAGCTACAGGAACTATACAAACTATAATATAAAAAATGACCTTACACTGAGAATTAATATTCAACTCTAAGTTATTACGTTTGAATGGAAACCTTCCCAGACAAATTTCTTTGCACTTTCTCAGAATTGCTCTGCTGTTTCCCATTTTTCCTCCCAGAGTTTACAGCTGTTGTTACTTGATATGGAAAAGAAAATATATGTAGTATCTGACTCTTCGACTTTTGATAGTGAAGAATTGGTAGTGGGCGAGGAGAGCTGCGTGCGTTTAGACCTGCGGGACTATAAGAGATGGTAGATACATTTTATTTCCCACCAGCCCTGTGTCAGTAGAGAAGATGTAGAGAACGAATCTTCCAAGGACAGGCCAGGGGAGAACCTTTGGGTTAAAGATCCTGTGAGAAAGAAAGATTTTTAATTTCAGACCATCTCACTCAGATTCTGTATTGTTACCCATTTTTCTCCTTGTCAGAAAAGCTGGCAAGGATCTTTAAATGGAAGGAGAGAGCCTGTTGTCATTTAAAAATCAACAGCTCGTTTTCACATGTGGAGAGCGTACTTTAAAAAAAAAAAAAAAAGTCTATTAAAAAAGAGCCATCTTGGTGTCAAAATGTATGCTTTGATCTTTCAGATTACAAATGGAATGTCTTTGCACATAAACCCATACCAATCTCAGTTCTTTGATGCCCATTAGTTTATATCACTGTTAGAGTACGTTTGGCATCTGCAACTTGGAATTAGATTAACGTCAGTTTTTGCAAATTCATGGACTGAAACGTGTTGATGGTTTTCCGCCCTTCTTTGTCCAGGATGGGAATGAAGGGACAACCGGATGACCCTTGTGTCCACACCTCATCCCATCTTGACAGAGACTATCATGGCTCAACAATTTTATATGAAAGTTGTTAAAACAGCCACCATCTCTTAATGCAGATAATTTCTTCCCTAGATAGTGAAGGGTACTTCAATAATGGTATATCAAAAAGGACTGTGAAGTCACATTCTTTAAGCGTAATTAAGAAGACTAACTACTTAAAATTAACGAAGAAAGCCCAAATTGTTGGCTATTTTACTAAAAAGATTAATAGTAGAAATCTATACTAGCACAAAATAATTAGTCTTAATATATTATCACCAAGAGAAGTCAAATTAGGCTGAATAAAATATTCTATGACTAATACATGGATTATTTGCATGAAAAGATGAATGTTTCATAGTCCCTTGTCTGGTCCATAATAAAAATTGACTAAACAAGTCCTTAGAAAAACATAAAGAGTGCAAAGGGAAGTTTCTATGCCTTGTGAAATTTCCTCAGATGCAGAATCAGTTGGGTCTGTATAGGCCCTTGGTCTCATTCTGTATTTTTTTTTTTTTTTTTTTTTGTCTGCCAGAGTGCATAGCCTAATGTCATGGTAACTCTGGTACCTATCCTAGAGTTACCAAGAGAGTCTCAATTCCAAATTTGGTGTCCAGTAATTCCCAAGAAGATATTCAAACTCATTAGACTCTGTGTTTCTCAATAATTTCTTTTCTGTAAATTTGGACTGTGCAGTGATAGAAGTGATATGTTGCATGCTTAGATGTCCCAGTTTTTCTTCTTTCTCTCTTCTTCTAGTAACCTTAAAAATTATTAGTGCTATAGTGTTTGAAAGTTTAAATATATTGAAAATTTAGGAACTAAACTTGGTTCTATGAATTATAAAACCAGAATACCTATTGCTGTCAAGTCAGTTCTGACTCACAGCGACCCTATAGGACAGAGTAGAACTGACCAATAGGGTTTCAAGGGAGCGGCTGGTGGATTCGAACTGCTGACCTTTGGGTTAGCAGCTGAGCTCCTAACCACTGCACCATAAGGGCTCCTATGAACTATAGGTGAGTCCTAATTATTATATGTCACTAATTTAAATATGCAGTAGATGCAGGGCAGCTTTTTTTAAAAATTACAAATCAGTGACATCTTGCACAATGTCCTTCTTGCCTGCAGAAAGGTATGAGACCACCTCTTCATCCATAGAAAATAATTGGATTTTAATAAACTCATGATATTTGCTGCTTGCTTTGCTTGTTTGCGTTCTTTGGGTTTCTTCATGCCTTACACATTTCTCTCTTCTCCTGCCCACCTGCTCTTTCTTCTTTCCTTCTACCAAGACTTACTCTTCCTACTTCTCCATTTCCAATGTTGCTTTCTCGTCTTCTCTTTTCTCTTGTTTTCCTACAAGACTAAAAGCTCTGTTTGGTTAAAAAAAAATTTTTCCCATAGGCAGACATTCCAGATACTTTTGACTTCTAATAAAAAATGATTTATCTAAGATGCAGAGACAGTAAAATTGCAGATGACATTAATGCAGACACAGGGTCAAGGGCTGAAGTTCAACTCCTTCTATTTGAGTTTAGCATCTAAGTATTGGAGAGAAAGGGCATCGAAGGTGAGCCGTTAACCCTGCTTGAATGTAGTGAAGAAACGCTCTGAATAGTATGTTATTGGAAAATGTACTTTGATGGATGTCTGGAATGGATAATAAAATCTTTGCATTATCATTTTATTACCAGAATGA